TCTAGTTGTGGAAACAAATTATTATTCACCAAAAGTTTTAAAGTTATGGCAGTTAAAATAGTCGTAGTTGTGTTTTTTATAGCAGGTATGTCGCAAATATGCCACACAAATACAAAGTTAAATGATTTTACAGTATACTATTAAGTGATATCACTAGGATTATGACAATTCCTTTAAAAAATCATATATATTCTTAATCAGGTTAGGTTTTGCAGAAATGTAATTTTTTCAAAATTTTAAAATTTTTAAAATTGCCAAAAATTCAAATTAACCTAGTCAAAACTAGCATAGAACAGCTTTCCGAATTGAAATTATTGCATTTTTGGCTTAGTTATAAAGATTTTCGTGATTAAATTGCAAGGGTATACAAACTTTGGGTTCGCAAAATTAGCTTTCATAATTTATATTCCATTGAAGTCAAAAGAAGCCTCTGAAAGTTAATATTATTTGCCACACGAACTTAAGAACTTCAACTTAAATAATATATAAGATTCTTAATGGTGTTATAAATTCCCTTTTAAAATTCTCTAATGATTTGTAGCGTCATATAATAAGCAATCCTATTCTCTTGACCACAACTGTTCCTCCTACTGGCGAATATGTCCAGCTAAATGTGTGTCCGTCCGCTGTTGCCTTCCGTCCGTCCGTACATATGCACTCCAATGAACAGCAGCAACAACAACAACAACAACAACAATAAGAAGACAACAAGCGGCGGAGTGCATGGGAATAGAGCAACAATAACAAAAGCAGAAACGATTTGCTCTGCCACTGGCTGCGATATGTAAAAGGCGAAAATATTTAATTTTAGGTTCTTTGTGCCGCCGAGAATCCAAAAAAACAAAAAAGAAAAAAGAAAAGCCGAACCGAAAAAAAGAGAGGGTGAGAGAGCGGAATCAAATCGAAAAGAATAAAAGGAAACACACATCTCTGTGGCGCTTTCTCGTCTTTAGTCAGATATATTTTCCTTTCTTTTTTTGCCTCTCTTTTCCGTCCGCTTTGCTCTGCTTTTATTGTTGCTTTTGTTTTTATTCAACTGCCTCGTTTCACAAAGTAGACAGCAAAACGTACACAAAACTGGGGGTGTATGGAGAAAAGCCACCCAAAAAAAAAAAATGTAAAAACAAAAAAAAAGAAGAGAGAGCGAACGCGAGGAGGCAGAATGAAATCCGAATTTGTTTCATTCCATTGCCATTTCCATGGCCGCTTTCCAGCCCCCCCTTCCGGTCCATGTCGTCGTCCATATTCATTTCAATTCCTCCCGTTCGGGGGCCGATTGCAAATTTTTTGGCCAGAACCACGGAACACTTTTTCGGTCTTTCCTGCATCATGGAGGCGTTAATTAAACATGACATGCAAATAAAAATTATACTTAGGCATACAGCAGAGCGTCCATGACGCGAATTTTCCAGCCTAATTTGAGGGTTCTCTCAATGGAACTTAAAGGATATGAATGTATCCTGTTTTAAAATGCAGAGTTTTATAATTAATTTATGCATTTTTAAAGCATTTTTAGCTCATCAGTTCTCTACTAACGAACAATCAAAAGCCATGCCAAAGAGTTTTCAGTTTTTTAAAGAAAACTTTGAAGGTCCCCAGTGAAACGCCAAAGGAATCATAAGAAAGACTTTTCTTTTTATACAGGGTATTATTATTTCAGTAAGAAGCTTGTAACGCTTGAAGGACTCATTTCCGACCCTATAAATCATATATATTCTTGATCAGCATAAAAATTCTAATCGATCTATCCATGTTTGGAAAAAAACGATATTTTTGAAATTTTTTCAAAATTTTATAAGGGGTCACATCGTAAAAATTGTCAAAAATTGACAAAATTTTGAACTTTTGTAAATATTGAATTGAGTAAGCAGATTTATTAACCTAATAAAAACTAACATAGGAACGTTTTTTGAATTGAAATTAAAGCTTTTTTGACTGAGTTATGAGTTTTTTAAACTTAGATTTTTACGAGAAAATTGCCATATAAAAATATCGTTAAATATCAAAAGTATACAAATATTTTAAGCTTAGTTAGCTGATTCGAACATTTAATTTAAGTGTAAACCACAAGTGTATAAAAACTTCAACTCCCAAAGTTTATTTCCTTTCCGTTTGTCTCTTTCCTTTTCTCAATTTTTGTGGCAACTTTTTGGTAATTCGATTTTAGGAAAGTTCTACTGTATATTCCAACATTGCATCTATCATCCTCTGTTAGGAGGAAAAAAAGAAATAGACAGAGAAAGAGCTAAAAAAAATGAAATTTCAATTAAAATTGTTAACGAGAGACGCTGGCTAATTTGGCTCAAAAGTCGTGCGGAATTCGCATTTGGAATGGCAAGTACAAAAAAGTAAGAAAATAATGCCAGGGCCGGTAGCATATTTCATCCTAAGATTGCCTGTCAACACAAGTGTTTAAAAATATCGCCCGGTGGCGATATTTCGGGAATAGCCATTCATAACGCTCCTCCAGAGAGATTTATTAGATCGATTGGACCGCGCCGTCGGTGACAAGAGCTAAAAAGCAAAGCTGCGCATTTCGCCATCCAAAATGTACACGAATTTCATTTATATATATTTTGTGGATATTTCATGGACTCTTTTTTTGGATGTTTTGCAGATATTTTTCAGTTATTTTTCTGATATATTTTTGCAGATTTATTTTTCAGATTCTTTTTTTGATTTTTATTATGGGTATTAATTGGTTCATTCGCTCGGTTTCGCTGCAGTTTGCTGCGTTGCACATCGTTCGCGTCGTTGTATCTGTCCCATATATGTATCACCTGTGTGTGTGTGTGTGTATATTTGCTGGGTCAGACACCCGCAAACACCACACAGACACACACACACACACATATATATACGAACACCCACACTCCCGCACACACACACACGCGTGGAATAAACCTTCAGCAGCGGAGGCAACAGCGCCTATGACGGCGTTTCAAAAACTAAATTCATACATTTTCCAACAACCAGGCGATGCCTGAAAAATTTCAAAATTTTTCACACACAGACTCACTCTCACTGCGTCTCTCTCTGTATGGGGAATTCTCTCTACATTATCTCTTTTTTTTCGATATTTTTTTTTTTCGGCGAGAGCATAGCATAATGAAGTGAAATGAAAATTTTTTGTTGACCGACAGAGGAGAATATTTTTAGCATCATTTTCGGTCTTTGGGGCCGAGGGACGTTAGAGCGGCTTGGATTGACCTTATGGCAGGTGCAGTTCAATGGAATTATTAATAACCAAGGCAAGGCAAGGCAAGAAGGATGCTGCCGCCTCGCGCTGCCCCTTCCTGGCTCATTAGTTGGCTCTTATCAGGCGCCTCCTCGCGGTGAATGGGCCACAATTACGCAAGTTTCTCTCTAGCAACATGGACGTCGTGGGCGTCGCAGCTAATTTCATTTGGAGACACAAGGGGGACGGGGAGAGGGTGTACAAGGGGTGGGGGAGACCACCTCTCTCTGTCTTACCCTGTGATAAAAACCACTCGTCTAGAAAGTCCAAACCCATTAGTGCTTCTGTACGGCGTTCTGTCAGTTCCAAATGATTCTCTCCAATGATCTTCTTCAATATTTACATTGTCTCCTAAGTGGCTGTAGGTTCCTCCGATTCACTCAATTGTGGGTTGACATTTCTGGGATGTGCTGCAATCGATCGATTCGATCGATCGGTGCGTAGTTGTATTTATAGTCTCAATTATTGGCTAATCGATTGAACTAGGGCTAGGCTATAGCACATTTGTGCAGTTGCAAGCTAAAAAGATACTTTGTGGTTGTACAAAGTTAAAACTTGCAGGGGTTCAGTTAATATTATTAAAGGTTTTATATTGTTTTTTTACTCTAAATAAGTTTACATACTTTCAGACTTCTATATTAGCTACAAAACGAAATATATTCATTAAGAGGAAGACATCTATCAGTCGTTATTTTCGCAAATTCAACTAAGAACTTCTATAGAGCTAAAACAAAAAGGATTCTTTTAACCTTATTAAAGTTTCCAACTTTTATTTTAACTCTAAAATACTATATAAAGTTTTAGAATTAAATGTTAGTTGAAAAACAAGATAAATGCATTTCAGATAACCCATATATAGGGTAGAAATATGCTCGTAATAATATTTGTGTGTTTACCAAATATTTCTTTCCCAACATGTAGAGTTATTATTGAGTTTTCCAATTGATGTATTTACTCCAAGTGAATACATCAAATTTCACACTAATAGGTCAGTTAAACAACGACATACAACCAGTTAAAATATTCCCTTCTTGCTTGCAAAATCATTGCAATAACTGAGTGCAATTATGGCCTGAAAAGGAAAAAAAACAAATGTAATTAATGCGCATGTCGAATGTCAGCACCACAAATATTTATTTAACTTTCAACGATTTTCCCATCAAATGCATATTTTTTCATGGTTCCCTTTTAAAGCGCTGCCTAAAAGCATGCAATGGCCTATTTTTTGCGACTGTCAAAGACAGCCAAAAAGTATGGGAAATTAAATAGCTAAAATCTGCATGCCCACGCAGTATGAAAATTTCCAATTGGCAGCCAATAGAAACATTTTTGTTCAAGCTCTACTATAGTTATTATATAGCATTGTGAAAATATTAATTATAAATATGTACGTAATATTTTCCATCAAAAAAACATATGTTTGGGGACTTTAAAAAATCCGCTTAAAGGCGATTGCGTTTTGGTTCGCAGTTCGCATTTGGTGTGTGCGACTTTCCCCCCGGGGGTCTTCAATAATTCAGAGAATGGAATCTAGAATTTTGGTTGTTTTTTTGTTATGGGGGAGGGAGGACCCCGCTGCCAAAATGGTTGGAAAAACCTTTCGTTTTGCGGGTTCGCCGACATTTTCATTGCCGCGCGTGCCAAGCAAAAACTTGTGCGCCATCGAAATCGAATTTGACACAAATTAATTGCTATTTGATTTGACAAGTGCGAACGGCGGGGTAAGAGTGCTGCTGGTGGATACAATGAGCAACTTGCGGGGTTTATGCTTAAGTGTTATCATCTAGAAATTGCTTTATTTGTGAAATGTTCGAAGAGACATCTAATGAATACTGAATGAACTCCTTGGCATTTGTGCGGGGAGCCGAGCTCGTTGTGGCTTCTCTTAAACTGCGTTTGGGCTAGACCTTGTGAGTGGCAGCTGGCGGGGATTGGGCTGCCACTTGGGGTGGCGCCTGTGGTGCGACTTGAGGCGGCGCCGGATGAGCGTGTGCGTGTGCGTGGGGTTCAACGGGTGTGGGAGTGCTGCCTGCCTCGGTGGTGTTCAGGTGGGTGAAGTGCGGCCAGGTGGAGATCTCGGCGAACAGCCTGCCGCCAGGACACTCGGTGTCACGCACCTGCTTGTGGCCCAGCAACTTGTAGGCAGGATCAATGTAGCCCTTGAACACGCCAAAAGCGATCAGGTTTTTGGCAGCATCCAACATTTGTTTAGGGGGAAGCTCAGCTAAAAATGAAAGAAGAAATAGCAACTCTTAATAAGTCAGGTATTTGGAAAGGGAGAAAATTTCATTCCTTGGTGTTGATTTAAGATTTATTATAGTTAACTTTAAATTCTACTCACTTCGCCAGTCTCCAATGAGCACAATGCCCACACTCCTGTCATTGTACTTGGGTGCATGTGCTCCAATGACATTAAAGCCACGACCTGTATAGATCATGCCATCGCCGCCAATGCCAAAGCTATAGCCAATATCGTTCCAGCCACGTTCCAGTTGATGGAAGTCCTGCATGTCCCGCATGCTCTTCATGCAATCCACTGTGGTATAGCACACGGGCGGCATGTACGAGTGATGGATAATCACATAAGGAGCAGGTCCTTGAAAATGCTCCACCGACTTGGGCAGTCGGGCGCCCCAGTCGGAGCGGGAAATAAGACGGGCTGTGGCCACGCCATCGCCCAGATTTGCCTGCTGCATGTGTTGGCTATAGCCTGTAAACGAAAAGATATATAGGTGTTTGGTTTAGTAAAGATTCTTCTTAAATAAATAAAAAATAAATACTAAGAATTGAGAAAAATTCCCCCTAGAAATCTTGCCTCAACATCGCTAACATTTTGAAATCAATAATTTGATTACTCAATTTATTACTTGTTGTTTTTCATTTCTTTTCATTAAATTCCTTTCAATTTCTGGAATGCATATCACGTTAAAAAATATTGTTGTTTTTGTTGTTAAATTTAGCTATGAGCATTAACGTGTTGTTTACATTCGTAATCTGGTGTCTTGTGCCCTTGACTTTTATTTGGTGATGACGAGAAAACAAGTTGGATTTTCAACTTTCGCCCAAAACGAGAAGATGCTTCGTTATATTTCATATTTCTGACACAAAAACACTTTCAAGACAGCCAACGTTTGTTGGCCTTAATTGCAAAAGGGAGGAGGGAAGGCGGTTGGTTCTGGGTTGCGGGTGCGTATACGTGATGTGTGTAATAGGTGGGCGAAGTGTGGTCTGTGGTGGTGCTGTTGCTACCGTACATTCCTCACATTCCACTGATAAATGATAGCCGGATTCCCCAACGCGGAGGCGTCTGTCTGCGGATGTCTGCTGCGGTAACTGCGGCTCGAACGAGCCACGATTTTGTACTGACTCTGCCTGGCTGACTCCCCGATCCCACTGAAAATCCCCCTTTAACGAGAGATATACAAAGAGAGAGCTACGTAAAAAACAAGTCACCGATCGGCTCCGATTGGCAAATCGAGATCGTCATCAGTCTGTTTGCTTGAGCTGAGCGGGAATTAAATATGCTAAATTAGCGACTGCTAGGTGATTTTTATTTGATTTTGAGTAGAAAAGGTGCTAGCAGGGCATATAAGCTATCAGTATCTGTTAAAAACTGATTGTATTCTGCGAGAAAATACTTTTAAATCGTTTAAAAATATCTTAAAAATACAGTCCGTTTTTATTTTCAGTTTGAGAGAAAATTACTTTTAAGCTAGAGGGACTTGAACATTATTGTATTACTCTTGTTTATATAATGTTGTATAAAGTAATATAATTGAAAATTCAAATGTTAGAGCCCATTTTTAGAAATAACAAACACACATTTACGTATGAAAACAAAACAAATTCCAAAATCCTCCATCAACCCTCTATCAAAATTGACTATAATGTAAATATTTGTCTCAAAGTTTTAGAAAAAATTTGCTGTATTTTTATGGCGCAATATTTTTCCATGCTTTCGTAGCAAAAGTAAATATTTAGATTGGCCCACGAACAAAAAACACAATAAAATCCAAATGTTGTGCTAGAATCCGTTGGCAGATTATCTGCAGATAAAAGTATCTATTTCGGGGCAGGTCATTCCCGATTCGTTCAGCTTCGGCGCTCCATCAGCGTGACTCAGCTTAAAGCCGTCAATGCGAAATGTTTGAAAGCCAAAAGCCGCATAGCAGCGGCAGCAGCAGCGGCAGCGGAAGCCAAGAGCAACAGGTGCTGCGGCTATGGTATCATCTATCAATGGCGTGAACGTTTGGCCGTTGACACTGCCATGGCCCTCCCCTCGGGAGCCCAGTTCCGTTTGGCCCTGAGTCATAAATGCAAATTTCGACGACTCCAATTTGACTCGAAAACTATTTTATTTCATTCAAAATTTGCTTTATGTGTGCCGAAGGAGGAATGGAAGAGGTTTGCCCATGTTTGCGCTGCCGTCTGCCAAAAACTTCGGCACCACGCCCACTCCGGGCAATACGCCCACAGCATTTATATGCATACGGAAAACTTAGCCGGGAAAATGGCTGAACGGAAAGAGCGAGAGAGAGAGAGAGAGAGAGCGGGCGGAAACAGGAGACGCGGCACTTGACTAAGTTAATAGCGGCAGTTTCTAATTAAAATTTACGGAAAGCGAAAGTTGTGTGGGCACACAGACGAGGTCGAAATAATATATATAACATCCTGATTTGCGCACTTCCGGTTTGGGTTGAACTGTGGAAAATAGTTTTCCCTTAAATTTTGTATGAATTGAAGAGGTTTAAAGATGGTTTAATTATGTGGAAACGAAATTGTGGCTGTTAACTTTTTCTGTAATTTTTGGAATATTTATTTATATCTTGACTAAATTTTTAAAAACACAAGTTCCTTCCTCTTTTGTGCTTAAGTTAATAGTAACAAGTAGTCTATGAAACTTATTATTTTGCCAACGATTGTTGGCTGCTCCTGCCGAGTGTCGCACCCGCTGTTTGGCACCTATCGTGGATCCTGAATCCTGGACTTCATCGACGGCGCGTGCTTGAATAATAAACAGAGCAGGAAGCACGAAGCAAGAGCAAGAACAGGAGCAGCCATTTGCAGGATGTGAGGGGAATGGCAAATCGTTGGCTGTTTAATTTATGCCGCTTACTTTTTTAGTGTGTGTAACATGTTAATTACATTTATATTTACAGCAAAGCTCGGAGAGCTCCGATAGCTCCGTGAGCTCTACCCAGCCACGCCCCACTACCCTAATTGTTACCCTAATTACGCGGCCTAATAATGTAAACATTAAAACTCGTTGGCCTAATCAATGTTGCAAACTTTGTGGCCCTCACTGCCACACACACATGCCCCAAATATTCACACCCTCAATCGCAATTTTGGGCGATAGTTTAGGTGCCGTCAGGGGTAAATCACCTAAGCTCTTAGTCACACACACACACACTCAGCTTTGCAAAAAGCAATTTCGGAGGCATTTGGCGCAAAGTTCTTTGATAATTTTCGATTAATCCTACGCCGCTCCGTTGATTAAATTCTCGCATAATTGAAGTATTTAAATTACCAGAGAGTAATTAGAGTGGCAGGCATGCACACACACTGTCGTCTAGCGGTTGGAGTGCTCCCTTAGGTAATTGTTTGTTTTTAATCAGGCAAAGCACATAATAGAGACATTTCAATATTATTATGTTGACGATGCTGAAGAGCGGCCCGTCGGTCGTCGGTCGTCAGTCGTCAGCCGTCTGCCCATTAAACAAATATCCATCCGTGCATTGTTTCAGGGGGAATGTGCGAAATTAAGTCACGCTCGATTACAACAAAAATTAAAAAAGCAACAGGCAAAAAACGAACGATACCCGGACAACGGCAAAAAAGTACCCGGAGCAAACAAACAGCGAAAAAAAGAACACAATAAAATCAACAAAAAAGAACGAAAAGACTAAATAAAAAAGAAAGCGAGCAATTATAGGCTTAAGTACCGACTATTGAATTCCCTTTATTTTTTGCAGATTTGTATGGTTAATCAATGTGAAAACAATTGTTAATACATGTATGCCTTTTAAATCTATTTTCCATGAGTTTATTTTTTTGGTGTAGATATTGGTTCTTTAGATGGAGTTACATCCTTACATCTTAGCTGATTTTCACTCATATGTAGACTGAGGCGAGAATATATAACAAAAAACTCAAAAAGTTATTCCGATCTCATAGATTCTAACTTCGGTGAATGATATTTTGAACCGTTTTTATAGCAGTTTGTTGTACTTGGGAATTTTAAGATACATTTCTAGATAGATCACATCTATCTAACTACATTCTTAGAAGTTTGTAAGGTACCAAATTTGATATCCAAACTAAAATATATTTAAAATACAATATCCCAAGCTCTTTTCTCATTCATATATTAAGTATGATAAAACTTTTCATTAATAAACAATTTCATTCATATTTTTCTCTTACTATAAAAAACATATACCATTATCTCCGTTTCATAAGAATTCTCGTAATGCAAGAGCTGATGATAAGAGTACCCAGTGCCTCAGTTAGGGTGCCGGTATTATTATGAATATTAAAATCAAAAACAATTTCACTCGCCCGCTGGCTGTCAGGCCGTAAATGACAATTTTGTTAAATGTCAGTAATTAATTGAAACAAAAAATCACATATCTTGACAGCGTGCAAATTATGCATATATTATACGTCAGCTATCAGTGCTCGGTGCATATATAGATATATGTGTATAAAATATGTATATAACAGCTGTCAGAGCTCAACGGACACTGATTGCAGGTGATTGCAGGGCGCTCAGATAAAATAGAGGAGAAGGTGGGATATCTTCTGCATTTTGCAGACTTCGATAAGAAAAGCCTCTCGAGCACACGACACTTACCCATCATTGATAGCAGAACTAATCCCAGTGCTGTCATGTTGCTTTTTCCAGCTGAAGTTTATTGTTGCTTGTAGCTTGTTGCTTTTGCTTACTGCTTTCTTCTAGGTGCTTCTGCTTTCTGCTTTCTGCTGACGCGATTGTTTTGTTGTTTGTCTGGCTTTCAGCTACTTAGGAACTTGTGTGTGCGCACAAAATGTGACTTTGATTTAGGAACTTTTGTGTCGATTGCTGCTAGTTGATACTTGTTGTTTCTTAGTTTGTAGTTTGTTGGTTTGTTGGCTTTGTTTTTTAATGCAGCGGCAAGAAATGTGCAAAAAGATTTCGACAATGTGTGAAGGTCAGACTTTGGTTCGCAGCGCTAACATAGCGGCTCTATGCTTCGTATCACAAGCGCGAATGTTGGCCAGCATAAGGGCGGGCCTGTGTTTATAGAAAAATCCAAACTAAATTCGCACCAACTCTGCCGCTGCTGCCGTTGCCGTTGCTGCTTCTGCCGCTGCCTTTGCCTCTGCTTTTGCTACTGCCGCAATGCCAAACAAATCGTTAATCGCATGAAACTTATTGGCAGATCGCGCTCTCGACTCGCTCTTTTAATATTCATTTTGCCAGCACTTCCGCTCTGCGAGCGAGCTTTTTACCGCCTCTGCTGCGGTCGGCGTTGCCGTTGCTGCCGCATTTACCGCCGCTGCCTCGGCCAACGTCGCTGCTCCTGATAAAGCTGTGTTATCAGCGCCTTTAGGGGGATCGCCGGGCTACGCAGAGTTCCATCTAAGGTCAGGCTGCGGTCTTTGGGGAAATTCAATATGGTAATTGCTGATTCCGCGGTGAATTACATTCACGCCTGCGAATCCATTGGCCCCTATTAACCACATTTCACCTCTTTGGTTCGAATCGGCGGTACTTTTTCCAATCCAAAGGGTTCTTTTTTTCGAGCACTGACATTACGAGGGCCGACGCTACACGTGTCAGCGTGAATCGGCAGTTCTTGGTATAGATATAGATAAATATATGCCTGCACGGAGAGAAAAATGCGCTTCAATGTGCAAAAGATATTTTATCTTTTTGCAATTATTCGGTCTTGCGTCCTTAAAGTTTGATTTAAGGGAAAGAAATCTTGGGAATTTCAAGGAAATGGTAATCAAAAGGGTAAATGGTTAGGAAAGGACAAAGTAGAAATGCAAGTCGAGTATAAAAATCCTATATCACATTGAAAATATTGCAAATTTGTGATATATCGAATTTAGAAACATGGGAAAATATAGTTTTTAATATAATTATTACCGAAGAAAGAAAGGATAATATACACAAATGCAGCGTACAATTTAATTATAAGATTGTATAGAGAATCGATAAGAAATAAGCTTAAAATATCTGGTCTTTTTGAATCGCTATTTATTTATGATTTATATGACAATTTTGTTCGACAACTTGAACCTTAAAAAATGCATAACTAAGCCAAAAATGCGTTAATTTTAATTCGGAAAGCATTCCTATGCTAGTTTTTATTAGGGTAATAAATCTGCATACTCAATTTAAAATTAAAAATTTGATCAATTTTTGACAATTTTAACGATGTAACCCCTTATAAAATTTTGAAAAAATTTCAAAAAATTAGTTTTCTTCCAAACATGTCTAGATCGATTCGCCTTTTCGTGCTGATCAATAATTTATATAGTTTATAGGGTGGGAAATGACTCCGTCATTGCAAAACAAGCTTCTGACTAAAATAATAATACCATTCTTTGACCCGATACTTAACAATAATTATATATGCAAATTTGTTCTATAAACCAGAGTTTACAAATTTCAAAACTAAGCCAAAATAGCATTAATTTTCATTTGGAAAGCTGCCTTATGTTAGGTTTTATTAGTTTAACAAATCTGCATACTCTCTTTACAATTTAAAGAAATACAATTTTTGACAATTTTTCACAATTTTAATGAAATTAAAATTATGAAATTTTGAAAAAATTGACAAAATTTATTTTACGACCGGACATGCTTAGATCGACTCAGTTTTTAATGCTGATAAAGAATATATATGATTTATAGGGTCGGAAATGACTCTTTCATAGAGTAAAATGACTTTTACTAAAATAATAATACCATTGCACGGGTAAAAATATATGCGAAAGATTGTATTCAATGTACTTGTATCTTTTTCCGATTACATAGATCTATATGTATATTTACAAATATAATTTCAGTTTTAACGTATAACTAATTTTTTTTTTTATTAGCACGTTTTGTAGATAAGTTTAATAACATTAGCCCACATTTATTTCAGTGCATGAAATGACTATACTTTAACCTATCACTCTGATATACAATTAAGGTTAATCATCGACAAAAAATGCCACCTAGGGTATAGGGCGGAACTCACGCCTCGTGTTTTCCGCAATCACAACTTCCGACGGGGGCGATAGTTATTAACAACTATAACAGTTATAGTTTATGGCAATCTGACGACCTTGATGCGGATCGCTGATCATTGGGATTGGCAGCACTCTCACTCCACTTCAAGTAGTTCAATATCGGTCAGTCTTGAAGGTCGTCGCTGATAAGAGCCCACTCTATCGGGACCCATAAATCAGCAGTGGGGGAACTTTCTGTTGACAATCTCTTCAAACAATAGTTGTGCAAATAATAATTGCTGGTGGGAAAGTCCGTGAGATCACTCAGCTGCAGACAGTTTTCAGTTGAGAGTCAGCCAATTTAGTAATTTATTAATACTCTATCAATATGTCTTTGAAGATTTATAGTTTAGACAATTCCATCTCCACAATTTCTGGGAAAGATAGTTTTTGAAAAAAGTCCCTCTCCATCTATGACTCATTCGTTGACGAATACTAATATTTAAATATGTTAATAGAGTTTTATTTTGAAGGTCTGTCATTTCTCAAAATTTAGGTTAAAGTTTTTTTTTTTTAAGATATTTTAAAGTTGTTAAATATTTAAAGCCTTAAAGATGCTTAGTATATTGTTATTATTCTTCATATCATATATTATTATTGCTGATTCGCTTTTCTAAAATCGTTTTTGTATAAGTTGTTTGCATTGCTTTGTTTTTCAGAACTTTTTGGTGCCAAGTTTTCTGATGGTTGTTACAAACCAAATTTAACATTTTCCTTTTGGATTTCATCACTCAAAGTAAGGTTTCTTGAAAGTTCTTGAAGGGTTTCTGCTTCCTTTGGAAATTTCTCTCAAGTAGTTTTATTTACAAACACTTTAAGTGCCACTTAATATATTATTATTTCCATACAAAGAACTTGATAAATTATCGCTATTCCTTTTCAAATAGAACTAATTAATTTTGCACTTTGATTTCTGGTATCATTTCCTGACCACAATCGTAAGTTTACCAGATTTTAGTTTACGAAAACCGTGACTTGGTAACTGTGACAGCATCTCTGTCCCTGATTGTTCTCTGTGTCATCTGTGCTTTCTTTGACCACCGCCACCGGACATACTCTTTTAATTTTTTTATGTGTGTGTTTTAAATTGGTAGTATTTTTTTTTTGGGCCGGGGATGCCCCTCGGTGTGATCATTTGGGTTTCGGGGGAAGCCCACTGCAAATGCCGGTATTAAATTGCTTTAGTCGGATAGATAGACAAATTAACAGCATTTTATTTTCCGTCGTCGATTTATGGCAAACAAACACATTCCATCTTCATCTCGATCTTAATCTAAATTTGTATCGTTTTTTTTCGTCGTGCACACACACAGGTTTTTCGGTTCGAAAATTTTAGGGGGAGCACCGCGCAGCACCAGATGCGTTCTGCTGGCGCCGCCCCGGCCAAAAGGAAGTCCAAATCACCAGTCTCATTTTCTCTCAGGTGTACATATGTATACCTGGAGCTGCTTTATTTTATTTGCTGTTTATACTTGTGGCAAGGTAAACACGCAGACCACACGCCCCACCCCGAACTTAATATTTATTACACTTCAAAAAGGGGAAATTTCTCGAACGCTCTTGGAAATTGTTGAATTGTTTTTAACAGCAAAATAGTTGTGGCTGAAGTTGCGTACTTACCGCAACTCGTGGCCAGCTGTTGTTGTTGCCGGAATTGGTCGTAAGAGTCCGTGAGTGGTGGGTGGTGTTGTGTGACGGATCCAGACGCCTTGTCGCCCATGTTGCGTGCCACCGCCTTTGACGGCAACTGAACTATAGACCATTGGCTTCGGCCGAAGAGAACTCGAACTGGAACTCGACTATTTTTGGGGCGCCGGCCCCTGTGTCAACAAGTGCCTTTGATTAGGTCTTGTAATCTCAAATTGCTCTTCCTTTTCGAGGGGGTATAAGAACTCCCTTTAGCAGGGAGAACACATTTTTAATCCAATCCTCCTGGCTCTGTATAAAACAATAATAATAATTGCCAGGCAAGCGTTTATTTTTAAGTGCAGAACACTCGTTCTGGCCCATTGTTCGGGCATAAACGTAATTTTTATGCCTCTCGATATAACACTGTAATAAGTTAAGATATGTTTACGACCACAGGTGTGCGGTTGAGATAACCACACGGTAAAGAATTTAAGATATTTTCTCTTTTATTTTTGATGGGATAAATTGCCTGGGGGTTTTCATTTCAGAGGTGTAACTTTAACAGGATATTAAGTAGAACTTAAGTGGACTTTGCATAAGCCAAGCAATAGATTTATGGATTTTGATTAAAACTATAATTTGTTAATTACTAATATTTTTGTAATGAAACATAGGTCTGAGAAGAGTTTCTGAGAGTTTGGAGGCTGTTGTTAGGGCATCCCCTGATCGACTTTCGGCAGGTAACAATACTGACCATTGTGCTCATAATTTACCCTTCGACGGCTGGCTCCCCCCACTAATCGCACATCTTATCAGGGTATTAAGTGCGCCGCACACTAACTACGCCTTGGCACGCTCTCCCGATGAAAAATGCTGAGGAAGAACAAAAACAAAAATCACGCAAAATCAGAGGCAAAATCACAGGTATTCTTTTATTCGCCTGCGAATCGACAATCGGGGTATTCACCAAGGTAAACATTATCGAAGCCAGAAGCTTTACACTCTCTGGCACATTAGATAAATAAACGAGTGTCTCTGCGCGCGGCTGTGTGTATATTACAATTAACAAAAGTAATTGCAATCTCGCTGGGGGAAGCCCCGAAGCCGGAACGGGGCTCAATGAAAACTCTTTGATGGCTGAGCCCATGCAAGAGTCGATCTACTCGTACACAGCGAATAATCAGTGCATACTTGACATATCTTCGCTTCAATATTTCATTTCACTTCATTTCCCGTATCAAAATAATCTTAATCGTAATGAATTGGTCGCACCAAATCGAATAAATATCAGATAGCATTTAATTTATTGATTTGAAAACCAAAGGGCCCCTCTGTCTGAATGTCTTACGAAAGAAATTTAAGTGCTGGTGATAGGTTTTGATGGGGGTTTTTTTTTCTTTTAATTTAAATTCTTCAAATCGAACATTGAACGAATCGCAGGAAAATCAGGGTATTCACCCAATCAAAGTGATCAATAATAAACAAATTAATCAAGCTGTGACCCCGAAATAAAAACAGGCACTAAAAGGGGGAACTTTGTTAGTTTTCATTTAAGTATTGTTCCATTAAACGTTTTAAAGTTTACTTTCTACGAATCTATTGTTCAGATCACTAAGTATTTACGCGGTACTATAGTGTTAAATTATATTCTAAATACAAGAAATATCCATTAAGTTTTATTTCCTGTGCATACCCATTTAGATGTTATGTATATACCAACACCCCCAATTGAAGTCTTTGGCAAAACGAACAATTCATCAGATGTCGCCATATCATTGTCTGTGCTGATTAGTTACGCCTTGCTGGTTGGCAGGAAAATTCACCCATCAAGGGTGTTGGCTGATGGGGAGTGGGAGTGGGAGTGGGGCCACCAGTCGGAGGGGGCAGGACAGACTGAGACTGGTATCCTTGTAGCGGCACGCACATGCCATATATTAGGACGCATAAAATGACAAACGACTCGCGAGGCGCGTAAATTGAAAACGCGCTGAGCCTGTGCGAGATTGCCTGCGGAGGGGAATTGGTCGCTGGCAGGATAACGCGATGGCAACGTGGCAATGGTGGGTATATGTACCACGGGGTGGCGGTACATGGATTTCGGCGACTTTTTGGCTGTTTGTTATTGCTGCCAGCGAGCTGTCTCACTCCCAGCTCCGAGCGAGCTGCTCGCTGGCTGTCGGCCAAAAACTTTGCCAAAGTATTCAAATTAAAATTTCAATTAAGGAAGTGAATTTGTGTGTGCCGAAAGTGTATTAAGTCTATATAGCGGTGGCATCTTGGCATTTCACTGCTCCTGCTCCTGCTGCTCCTACCTTATTCCACGTGTGCCACGCCCACGCCAGAACCCGCATCAGCCCCCACAAAACCGAACCAAACTGAACTGAACATAACAGATCCCGCCTCTCAGTGGCATCGTCGCCTGTTGTTTGATTTATTGCCAAAGTTTGTCGTCTGTCATATGACATAAGGAGTACTTTGTTGGAATATTTTACATTTCATTCCCTTCCCCCCTCGAAATCCCCCCCTGCAGAGCCCACTGCCACGCACCTTGCTCGCATTTTCCATTGAATTCGCAATGAGCCCCCAAAGAGGCTTTGATCGGAGGCCTCTCTGGTGGGCATTATTAATAATGCAATCAATTTGTAAACAATTTGGCATATATCAATGCGCTTCGTGCTGGCCATAAATCTTTGGGAAATTAGCTCTGTAGGTTCCCCTGCTCCTGGTTGGGTTTTCTGCACTTTAAAATATTGAAATATAGTTTTGTTTTACCAAATAGAAACATTTACAAATGGAGTCAAGGGAAAAGTTTATAGATGTTGAGGGTTCTAACCTAGCATAAGATCAGAATATATAATATCATCTAGCGTTTGGTTCATATCTCTGGAGTTCAAGTGGCCATCACTTTTTAAATTGAACAATGATTTAAGGGCTTTCCATACATTGTTCCGCTAAAAAATTCTGGCTGAAGGAAAGCCGCCAAAAATATTGTTTTCTCTTTTTTCCTAGTGTGGTCATTTGCATCCCGACTCCTCTAACAATCTGCTGGCCTGCCTGACTGCCTGCCCTGTTTGATGGATTGGCGGCTGGTTCTGGCCGGGAAATGTTTCGGGAGCATGGCAACGGCTACGCCATAGTGTGGACAGGGGCCTCTTCCGGCAGATTTTGGCCATATTTCTGCGTTTTTGGCTGCTCGACTGGCTGCCGCTGCCGCTGCCGCTGCCCTTTCTGCTTCAGCTGGTGCTGGCGCTGCTTTGGCAGTTAGTGACAGCTGCGGTGATGGCTGGCTGCAGTTTTGGATGGGGAACGGGTGGGAACTGGTGGGGGAAAAACCCAAAATGAAGCGCCGGGGAAACCATAACGCTTGTCCGGTCGCCAGCCATGCATTCACTGACCAAAAGCGGGACGAGCAGGGGGGTGGGACCTTTGACTGGCCAAAGGAATGGAATTCGTTGGTGATATTTGCCCAGAATTTCGAATTCCCAGTGGTCGGTCCGAGTAGGCAGCACAAAAGACAGGCACACACAGCAGTCGTCAGAAAAAGGGAAACACTACGAACAGTAAACTTTCAGCTCTCGGTTTTCCCCCTGTATCTCCGGAGCGGAATATATCTCCTTTCACCGAGGTGAGTCTCCTGGCCCGGTTCAGAGTTGAACATCCTGGTGAGCTAATTGAACGAAGTTCCTCCATGAAGTCCAGCTGAGATTCTTTCCCTGTCGAAGAGAAATTGCTTCCTTTTCATTTTTTTCATTCTCCTCCCTACACCACTATAGCTCGCCTTGGCCCCAATTTAAAAGTTTATGAACTTGTCTGCCAAGTGGCGCCTCCAACCCAGACTCTCACCCATCTTTATCTCTCTTTTCTCATATTTTTTCTGTGTGTTTTGGCAGGAAGATGTCGGGGCGCCTCAACCAGCAGCACGCGGCGTACGCGCAACGCATGGAGCAGGAGAACAACCGGGTGCAGGCCACCCAGGCATTGAACAGCTACTACAGCCACTGGGGCAAGGTGACGTCCCGTTTCGAGAACTGGACAAACAAAGAGTATTACGAGAAGGCCGACCAGAAGCTGCAGTCCAGTCGCGAGCAGAAGGAGAAGCAGACGGCTCTCGATGAGCGAAAGACCAGGCTTCGCCAGCTCTTGGCGCTCGAAAACGAGACTTACGACACCGAAATGCAGCGACGCCGGAGGCCCCGCGAGCCGGGCGGCGGTGACCTCCAGATGCTGGGCAGGGTCAACCAGTCGCTGAAGGAGCAAGAGCAGCTGCGTCGCAAGCTGGAGATGGAGGCCAAACTCTACGGTCGCTGGCGGCATGGCGTCGATGACGAAAAGCTACTCTACCAGTCCAAGTCGGACAACGAGGTGCTGGCCAAGCTCAACTGGCTGGACCGCCAGATCGAGAATCAGCAGCACCGCGAGGAGCAGCAGGCCCTGGCCGCCGAGCGTCAGTTGCTGCTCCAGCAGGAGATTAACCGCACCGAGCAGGCGCAGAAGGAGCGTCAGCAGATCCGGGAGCAGCAGATCCGCGAACTTCGTGCTCTTCAAGAGTCGCACATGTCGGAGCTGAGACTGCGCCAGGAGGAGGCAGAAAAGCTGAAGGAGGAGGAGCAGCAATTCCGGCTCTTCCTCGGCGAGCTGGACAAGGAGAAGGAGCTGCTGGAGGAGAGCACGGCCCTGGTTATCCGTCGAGCCGATGCAGGGCATGCCTTTAACTTGAAGAAGATCAAGGTCTTCATCCGTCAGCGCAGCGAGGCCAGTCGCAAACAGATCTCCCTATGCATCAATCTTCTCCAGCGGATGGCCAACTATGTGGTCAAGGCGGAGGACTTGCAGGCTCTCCTCACGAAATATCGTTCGGATCTGGCGAGCGAAGAGCTGGCCTGCACCCAAATCGAGACCATGTACGAGTCGGAGGCGAAGTACAACCTGCAGCGCTGCGAGGAGACTTGGCGGGAGCAGCACTTGCAGCGCTACGGTGAGCTGAGCAAGCTCATTGAGCAGGAGAAGGATAGCTTGGGGGCCCTGCTCCAGGCGAACATCACGCAGCAGCAGACGGTGGTGGAGCTAAGGAGTCAGCATCTCACCGGCATTGAGCAGGCCAACAAGCAACTGGAGCAACTCAACGAAGAGCAGCCTGAGAAACCGGCTCCCTCGGTCATCGATCTTAAGGTGTCGGAATCTCAGGCAGCTCCTTTGGAGGAGGACCCCGTGCCCAAGGTGAGCAACTCGTTCTCCAACCTCAACCTGGATGTGTGGCAGGATATGCCACCCACTCGCAGCGAAATGGATTCTCAGCGTCTCACCAAAACCCGTTCCCTGAATGTGGTCACTTCGGAGACGGCGGCTCCACCGAAGTTTGCTCGGAAACGTGTGGCCTGGACTTAACGGAGGGTCGAGCCTTACATATTTCCATCGTTCCAGCTTAAATTTAAATAGTATTACTAGACTTAGTGCTAGCTTAAAGTCGGTTTAGTTATAGTTGGACACTTGTGAACCCACTACAGCCACTTCACGTGCTCGCCACTCCAGCACACTTCACTACACTCCACTTATTCCTCCCACTCCACAATGACGAGACCTCTTCCCCACACTCCAATGGACACCACTATGTGCACTTGTAGTTGATAAGGCTGATAGATAGGCGTGCCCCCCTCGATTAGGGGCGGGGTCGGGCAATAAATCACTCAATTTGTGGGCCAGCAGGAAGTAAGTCTTTAATTATTGTCCAGGGCAAGTCAGGATAGAATGCGTATGAAACAAAGAAATAAATTGTATGATTCCAGACGGGTGCCTTATAAAATATTTCTATGGATTTTATGGATCTAGCATTATTATGTTATTTTTTGAAGACTTAAGAACGTCGGCTTTTATTTAATAAACTTTGGACCTCTGGCGTATAAAATATATAGATGAAAATATATATAATAAATGAATACATATGTATACCAAAAACTGATATTGCTTTGTTTTGTATCATATACACATAAGCCCTGAGATATAAATGTTTTTAAATGTTTTATTAAAATCTGGGCAGTATAAATTAATTAAATACTTTTTGGCAGTTGACAAATTATTTCTTAAAGTTCTAATACTGTTTACACCAGTGCGTATACGTTGGTGTTAATGCTTGAAATAAAATTTTAAGAAGACAGGAAATTTACTTTGAGAAGCCGAACTATATATATATACACCCTTGCAGCTTACAATTGAATGATGCGATCTGGGAATCGATCATAACTATGTTTGTAATTCAATTTTTTTATATTTAGTTTATATTCAAATTTTCTTCGACAAATCAATTCTTAAAAATCTCATAACCAAACCAAAAATGTTAATAATTCTGCATACTAGATTTAAATTTTTAGAAATTTTTATTTTTTGCCAATTTTTGACAATTTTAACGATGTAAAAAAAAATTGTTTTCTTCCAAACAAGACTTAATCGATTCAGCTTTTCATGCTGATCAATAATATATATCATATATAGGGTCGGAAATGATTCCTTCACTGCAAAACAAGCTTCTGTCTAAAATCGTAATACTATTCTTTGAGTCGATATTTATCTATATTTTTATATGACAATTTTCTTTGACAAATCAAATTTTAAAATTCTCATATCTAAGCAAAAAAATTCATTAATTTCAATTCAGAAACCATTCCTATGCTAGTTCTTATTAGGTTAATAAATCTACATACTCGATTTAAAGTTTTAAAAAATTAGATTTTTAGCCAATTTTTGACAATTTTGACGATGTAACCCCTTATGAAATTTTAAATTTTTGAAAAAAATTTAAAAAAATTTGTTTTCTTCCAAAGATGGCTAGATCGATTCTATTTTTGATCCTGATCAAGAATATATATGATTTATGGAATCGGAAACGAATCCTTTGAGCGTTACAAGCGTTTGACTAATATCATAATACCCTTTCAAAGGTATACAAAGAAGTGAAAATAGGTATTTTTAGATGTCTAAAAATTATTACAGCGATCAGGAAAGTGCTACAGTTTATTTTAAATTTTATTTATGCACTTTAAGCAGAGTCCAAAAAAATTACGTATACGTACAGTTGTATTTAGTATTTTAGTGTTTAGGAAAAACTAGTCACTAAGAATTAGGTTTTAATTTCACTATTTTTCATATATTTAAATAAATCCCAATAATCATACCTTTTTTTGTAGGAGTATATCAAAATGGTTTGCCAAACTGGGCTGACAATAAAGAGGCTTCGATTGAAGAATCCAATTGCAAACTGCTTGGGTTGGTATTAAATAAAATGTATATTAGATTATATTAAAAACTTATTGCATTCAAGATATATAATTAAATGCAGATTGAAAGATTAATCCACAAATATTCAAAACTGTCCTGAAGACATCCTAATGACATCCAGTTTGTGTTCTCGGTATTCCAACACATGTACATGTAGTTTAATTATGGTCAACACTCAATGCTCCCTGGTAGGTCAGATGGCGATTTGCATTTCAATCGTAATTAATACTTGTAGATTTGAGCAAATCTCGGGACAGTTTCCGGTGGCGAGGCACTCAAATGGCGGAAACAGGAGTAATAATACTCCATATACGAACTGGCAGGCATTATTTAATGCATGTTATTCATCATCTATTTGAATAGATTGCCACTCTCCCGCTCGTCATCATCGTCCCGCCCCCCAAGTCCCACTCCATGAGCCCTAAGCTGCGCCTAATGGCCAAAATGCTCGCAAATGATGATGAATACGTTTCAATTACTCTACTCGAACTCTCCATCATTGGAATCTAGTAGGAGGAATGGTAGTAATACAACGGGGAGGACTGGTGGCCAGCCGATATCATTTGATTGCTACTACCTGGCCAGGGACTCAACCTTGTGAGTTTTGTGAGGTGCGGGGTAGGTGGACTGTCCGTTCAGTGCACATTTATGAAATATTGGAAATTATTATCTGCAATTATTTGGGACAAACTCGGCAGTTTGCTATGGTGGCATAGAAAAACGATGCAGTCGATTTAGTGTTAATAAAACCAAGACATAACCAGATATTCATGCATGCCATAAGCATACATTTTATATAAAGTGGTGTATAGTAAAGCTTCCAAGCTTGTGAATATTAAAAGATAATATTTAATTATAAAAAACTATTGATAAATATTTAATAAAATATATATTTATAGTATGAGGAATCGTAAAAAATTGTGATACACTAAAGAAGATGCAGATAATTTTATATTCTTGATGATTTTGTTAGTCTTATATGACTTAAGCAGTATATATAATTATCTCTTACCTTGATTGCAATATAATTGAAATTGAATACAACTTTTACTTTTAGATCTGAGCTCTGTTTTATTTAAAATCTTCAAATTACTGGTTGCCTGTAAATCCTTTTCAAATCGAAGGCAAAATAACCGCTTAGTTCGTCCTTCTCGAAAGCGATTTCGCCCTATTGAGCTTGCTTCCTTTATCAAGTAGATCTTAAGCGAATCCTTATGTATCTTCAGTTCTCTAGTAAATGCTTTTTTTGCAAAGAACATTCAATATCGAACTATGAAGTTGCTTTTTCGTTGTGCTCTGCAATACTATCAAGTGCAAAAGAAATAAAATCTGTACGAAAGAGGCCACTCTCAAGATTTTTTCTTGTGGTCTTGAGAGTGAAACCTTCTTGAGCTTTTCTTTTTAATTGATTCATCTTATCGAAAGTAGACTGTGGCTGGCACATATACATATAGGAAAATATGCCAAATATGGCCAGTGCACGAGGCAGAGCAGCGGAGCAGTGCCTTTGATTAAATTTCTTTGAGTGTTTGGGGCACACAAAATGCAATTTCATTTGCACTAATGGCTGGCGTCGCAGTCGCAGTCGCAGCCGCTGTCTCTGCCTCTGCCTCTGTAGGCGTCGCTGTCCCGGCCAGCTGCATTTCCGCTGTCAGCAACAATGCAGCGGCGCAGTCGAGGAAAACGGGCCAAAACTGGGAAAAACAGGGCGAAAAAGTGCCGAGGAGAGCGAAAAAACAACAAAACGGGTGAAAAAAGATTGTTAAATTGAATTAAAACCAACAGCGCAGCAGGGGGGGGCACGACGCAGACGACGTGGGTGCATGCCAGCGGCGGCCAAGCGGAAGGTATATCATGATGAGAAGAATTGCATGCCTCTGCCTGCTCCAAGAGACCACCTGCTCCTCCTCATGCTCCTCCTTATGCTCCTCCTCATGCTCCTGCTCCCCCTCCGAGTCCGCTTTAATGGTGTTACTGCAACGGTGGCCATTACCAACTTGGAGCCATCTGCACGAGGCTTGTTCAAGCAATAAACGGAATTTGAAGGCTGCCACTGGTGCCGCATTGACCCCCTTCCTTCTTAGCAGCCACTGGCCACAAAAAGATTACAATGTTTTGTTGGAAATGGCAACTGGAAAAACTATTATTCCTGGTAGGACCTTAAAAAACAGCAACGAATACAAACAGAGTTCAACACACAATTGTTATAAATTAAGAGCCATTAAAGGGATATTCATTAAACATATTTATATATAAACGACAAGGATAACTAAATGCATGCTAAATGAGAGTTATTAATTAAGCGCAGATTAAGTGTAAAGCTTTTCAAACACTAAATTAAGTCTAGTAACAAGAAACACGATTTAAATACTTGATATTTGGCATGTAAACTTTATATTAATATTATACGTATTTATATTACATAGTTCAGTGACACATCTCGTAAAAACACAAATAAGCCACCTTCTCCACCCATCAACTGCAAATTAATTAACGAAAATTTGATTAAATCAATTGCATTTGATTTACCCTTAAAAAGCCAGGCTAATTGCGGATTAATAATTTAATTCTGAACATTTTAATATGTTTCATGCAATTTTAATGACATTCCTTGTTATTGTTTGCCTTCTATTATTTACACGGCCGTGTTTAACCAATGAGCCGTACCCGAACATGTACATAAATAATATTAAATAATTATTTTTGACATTTATTATAAACCATCAATCGCGTTGGCAACCCCGTCAGGCACTCATTTGTTTTGTCATCTGCCGCATATCACAATTTTTGGGGTCCCATCATCATCAACTTGTTGGCTTTGACGGTTGGAGTGTATTTTCGACTAGGCAACCATCGGATGGTGCTGGGACCAAATAACTAGACTGTTCTGTTAAACGTGGAAATTCGGGCGAATTTCCGCATCAAAGAGTTTGTATGAATCGCGTGTGCCGGGGATTTTGTCGCAACGCGTTGCCATCGTCGGCTTACGGCACGATTATAACAGGTGCGAGTGCGGATTGACTTGGCTGGGTGGCATAATCTGTCAGCCGACTGTCCCTTAAATAAGATTAACTGCTGATGCGTATGCGGCTGGGCCTGGCAAGGAGCAGTCGTCCACAGAAGGAAACAATAATGCGATGAATTCGAGCCATGCTCACGTCCGTCGCATTCGCACAGTCGAAGGAGACTCAGACTCCAGGCGTTGCCGTTGCCGTGGCCGTAGCTTTTCATCCGGGCGACATTCCCGTCAACAATTCAGCAAACAATTGGCAAATGTGGCCATAAAAGCATGACAGTTGTCACTGCCGTTGTCGTTGGCGATGACTCGCCCTCGTCCTCGCCCTCGCCAGAAGCTGCCTTTCAACCCCTTTCAGCCCGTTGAGCTCCTGCTGCCTCGGCTGCTTTGCAATGCACAAAGCGGAAACGGAAACGGATGAGGATGCGGATACGGAAATACATGTATGCGTGATGTTGTTACTGCTGCTGGCGCTGGGTGCTACTGGTCTATCTGCTGC